CAGTGTGGTCAAAGTATTTGCAGCTAATCTGGGCATCCTGTTTACTTTTTTGGCAACACGGAGGGGGATGTTGTTGTTGTTTAGTCGTTTAGTCGTGTCTGACTCTTCGTGACCCCATGGACCAGAGCACGCCAGGCCCTCCTGTCTTCCACTGCCTCCCAGAGTTGTGTCAAATTCATGTTGGTCGCTTTGGTGACCCTGTCCGTCCATTTCGCCCTCATCATCAGGGTCTTTTCCAGGGAGTCTCCTCTTCTCATGAGATGGACAAAGTATGGGAGCCTCAGCTTCAGGATCTGTCCTTCCAATATATGGAGATAGTAACCTCGTTTCATGAGGTACCCTCTCATTGTTAGATGCTGTCAAGTCACTTCTAACATCTGCAAACCCTAGTATTTATTTATTTAAACTATTTTTACCCTGCCTTCCACCTCAAAGAGGACCCAAGGCGGCTCACATCATCAAAAGACAATATGTATAGCTAAAAAGAATAAGTATACAAACATCAATAAAGATCAAACAAATACCCCAATAATAGAGTTTTCAAGCTCTGAAGTCTTTAAGAACTTGTTTCAAATCGCCATCCTCCAATGAGTTCCCATGGCCGAGCCTAGGATTTGAACCCAGGTCTGGCGATGTGGGAGGAAATGCAGAAAAACATTGGGGAAAGAGGATGGAATGGAGTGTGGTGGAGCTCGCGCATAATGGGTTGAGACTACTGCAGTGGCCTGTAAGAAGTTCCTTTTTTGAGGTAACAAAGGTTTGCTCCTATTACATTTCAAAAGCAATGTAATTGGAAAAAGTTACTTGATTGGGGTAACAAATATTTTCGAGTTCATAGGGTCACCCTGAGTCAGAGGTGATTGAATGGCACACAACCACAACAGTTACTTTTTAACTATACTTCGAAAAGTGATTTTTAAAGATGCATTTTAATATTTTCCCCCAGGTTCTTTGTTATTTTTTTAACAGCCCTATGTTTTTTTTAAAGTAAAAAAAATTGAGCAAAACGACAGGGGATTCAGCAAGCTCCTTTTCAAACATAAAGTGGCACCAGCAGCAAATTACTTTCCAAAGTTTAATGAATTACTTTTACAAGCTCTGGGAGAGGATACGGGTGAAACGGAGGACCCCGTACTGCAACATTTTGTTTCAGATTCCATTGGTGTTAATACTTCTCATTTTAGGAAGCTGAGGGTAGTCTTTTGTGTAGTCGATTTCCTGCGCAGGGTTGCAGTGTCATTGCAGAAATCTGTTCGTTGCAAATTGAATTAATCAATTTCCGGTCTGTATGTTGCACATGTCTTCAGTCATATAAACCACATTCGTTTGTGGACTTTTTAAAAAATGCATAAAAGCATGCAGGAATTTTTGTGTGCTAATTCCACAAACATACATCTTCTGGTACATAACTTGATGGTGGTGGTGATCATGATGATGACGACGACTTGTGTGCTAATTCCACAAACATACATCTTGTGGTACATAACTTGATGGTGGTGGTGATGATGATGATGACGATGACTGCTGCTTCATACAGACCGGAGCTGATGGTTCATGTTTCCCCGAAAATAAGACAGGGTCGTATATTAATTTTTGCTCCAAAAAACACATTAGAGCTTATTTTCTGGGGATGTTTTACTTTTTTCATGTACAACCATCTACATTTATTCAAATACAGTCATGTCATCATCTTCTGGTTGCTGCACAATGCTGCACAGTGGTGGAGGGAGGGGTTTCACTTCACTGGGTCTTGTTTTTGGGGTAGGGCTTATATTACAAGCATCCTGAGAATCATAGTAGGGCTTATTTTCAGGTTAGGTCTTATTTTCGGAGAAACAGGGTAACTCGGGGTGGGCATCTTGCTATCCTGAAACTCATGCAGCCCACCAAGATCCTCAGCCCTATCCTAGTTTTCTGCCACCTGCCAATTAAAAAAGAAAAAAAGAAGCCAGGGGTGGGTTCTCAGAAGAAGGGTGGATTCTGCTCCTCAAACAGCCAGTCATTTCTTTGAACATGGAAGAACACTGTTTACTAAGTTTAATGCACAAAACACACCAAACCCTCCTATTTTTCAAAACCAGAAATGGCCTTCCTGTCAGTTTTATTTTCTTTGCGATTTCTGCAATTTGTGCACCCCTGGTGGATCCCGGGGATAGAAAATGGAATTCTTCTGGACTTACCTAGCAGGAAGAGAGGAAGAACAAGTACAAGATGGATTGACGTCCTAAAGGAAGCCACAGGCTTGAGTTTGGAAGAGCAGAGATGCTTTGGACACTGATGGGGTTCAGTGTCCAAAGCATCTGGAAGGCAGGTGTCCCCCTGCCTCGCCCCTCCCTACATATCAAATAGCAGTGGCTCCCCCTTGTTTTAGGCAAGGGGTCTTTCCATGCCCTCTCTCTTTGAAATGCAGAACGGGAGATATTTCCCTATATATTACCGTATGTTTCCATGTATAAAACAACACTTTTTCCTAAAACAATTGAAGGAAAAATTAAGGGTTGTTTTATACTCAGAAGTAAAGGGGGATGGAGGGATCAAAGCGCTTTGATCCCTGTTCCCCCCTCCATGTTTTGCAAAGAAAATGGAGGGGGCGAAGCGATTTCCGCTTTCTCCCTACATTTTCATTGCAAATCGCTTCCCCCCCTCTATTTTCTTTGCAAAACCTGGAGGGAGGGAAGGTGTTTTTTTTTTTTGCAACAAAAATATAGGGAGAAAGTGGAAATCGCTTCCTCCCTGCATTTTCTTTGCAAAACCTGGAGGAAGGAAGCTGCTTTTTGCAATGAAAATGTAGGGGGGGGGAAATCAAGAGCTTCCCCCCCTCCACTTTCTTGCAAAGAAAGAAATTTTGATTTAGAAAAGTGGGGGGCGTTTTATACATGAAGGCGTCTTATACACGGAAAAAATACAGTAAGTGCATCAACTTCCTTCTTTCACCCGAGGCCCCTTTTCCACTTGATTCTCTCCGGAAGTGTCTTGAAGGAAAGATGTGCTTTGAACTTCTCATTAATCGGTCCAAGCGGCCGTCAAGATGATATGGGAGAAGGAAATTGCACCTCGTCCATCTTCCGTTCAACGTTAGCGCATGGAGATATTTTATTAGAAAAGCACTCGTTGACTTTTAAGTGTCTCTCTATCAAATCATGGCGTGTTCTTCCCTGGGGGGGGTGGACAAGAGAGAATGATCAGCTTTATGGCTCATCGCCCGTCTTAATTATTAGCCTGGCTGCTGCTCAGATTTAGAGAACTTGGTTGGTTGCGTTTTCAGCAGGATAGTATTTATGGCTGGCATCTTCCCTCAAGTCACTTGTGATTTAGGGCAACCGACATAGGGTTTTCAGGGTCTGTGAAGTGTTCAAAGAGCAGGGTTACAGTTGACATCCCTCAGTGAAGCTCCATGGCTTGGCAGGAACTCAAATCTTCCAAGTCCCTATCCACTATATTACCCTTGCTCTGAATATTTATATACAGTACAGCTACTAAAAACCATGTTCTGACAGATTCTGGGACATGGCGTGAAAGTACCAATGCTTGTCCTCTTTGGCAGAGTCTTAGATCCCCCAAAACCCATCGTGCATGCAGAACTCTGCTTAACGTTCTTCTTTTCTGGTGTAGTCTTCTAACTCGTGAGACGTTGGGTCAACTAAACCTAGGAAGGAATGGGTGATGCAATTTCTGAATAGCTTACTTTTTTGGGATAATGTTTTGGATTGAGCAGGGAGTTGGACCAGATGGCCTTATAGGCCCCTTCCAACTCAATTATTTTATGATTCTGTCGTGAAGACGTAATGCAGTTCTGTTTCAAAAAAAACAGGTAACCCCTGGAAATGAAGTTACTTTACTCGTGTAAAAAGGAACACGCTTCATGATGTAAGCTGCCTTGGGTCCTTTTTAATGAGAAAGGCAGGGTAAAAATATTTTAAATAAATAAAACATTTTCTGATTACTTTTTAAATGTTACGTATAAAGTGAATTTTAAGGCCTTTTAAGAGCCTTCTGGTAGGTGTTTTTGAAATTTTATACCATTCTCTTCTTGATCCTAAGGATTTTCTTTATTTTTTTAAATGAAAGAGGTCATAAAAACTTTAATGAGAATTTCAGTGGTAACACAGATTACCTTTCAAGTGTTGTAACAAGTAACAAGAAGAGTCAGAATCCTCTTGTTGGTCTACGCATGTGTAAGGAAAATAGCTAAGTCTTGGCCCATGAACCAAGGAACACAACCAACAACAACATTTCACCGAAATTTAACACAATTTCCCTTTTACAGTCATAAACGGGCAATAGAATTCTGAACAATAAATTACAGTGGTGCCTCACATTACGACGTTAATTCGTTCCAGCGAAATCGCTGTAGAACAAAAATGTCGTAATGCGAAAATAAAAATCCCATTGAAACGCATTGAAACCCCTTCATTGTGTTCCAATGGGCTGGAAACTCACCGTCCAGCGAAGATCCTCCATAGGGCAGCCATTTTCGGTGGCTTTCTTGTGAGGAATCCGTCCTAGAAAACAGCGGCAAGCCATTTTATTTACCCGGCGGCCATTTTGAAACCGCCGATCAGCTGTCCGAAAATCATCATTTTGCGAAGAATCAGTTCCTGAAGCAGGGAACTGATCATCGCAAAGCGAAAAACCCCTGTTCAGAACATTGTTTTGCGATCGCAAAAAGATCATCGTAATGCAATTTCGTTGTAATGCGGGGCAATCGTAAAGCGAGGCACCACTGTAATTGGCAAAATCTTCGGTGAGTGATGGAATGAATTACTTATAATTAAAAAAAATCAGGCTCTGGATCAGATCCCTTTAAATTTCCTTTGTGGTCCCCAGTCTAGACTTCATCAGTGAACATCATGGGAATCTCCCTGATTTCAGGATGTATTATGTGAAGAGGTGATTTCTCCGCCTTTTCTCTCTCAGCGATGTTCACGTGCTCTGGAAAATATGTACCCTGGTCCTTTTGCCTTCTGTGATCCATGAAAACCATGGCTTTTCCCTTGCAGGACCACGAGAAGCAGTATGTGGGGTTCGCCACCCTTCCCAACCAGGTGCATCGGAAATCTGTGAAGAAAGGCTTTGACTTCACCCTCATGGTGGCAGGTGAGGATGCCCTCTCATTTTAACTTTAGTTTTAATATTTATTAATTAATTTAAATTATTTCTCTGCCGCCTTTCTCCCCCTTGGGGACTGAAAGCGGCACCCAACGGGTAAAGTAAGGAAGGTAAAAATACTTCATAAACATTGCATTGAAAAAAAACAATGGCCCCTTCCGATTCCATTATTCAATGATTTTATGATACAATAAGATACATGTTTGTCCTTGTATAAAGGAAATTGCATACCTCTTGGGCGTAAGGGCATGCGCAGGAATGCAACCAGCAGACACTGCAAGTATGACATTATGTCAATGTTGCACTGATCTCTTTTGCATTCAGTGGAAGACTTCTAAACAGTTTAAAATGTTTTGAAAGTAAGGTTTAAGAAGTTAAACATTTTTTTCATTCGAAATGTTATTGTCTTGATCCTTCCCTTAGTTCAATTAGACACATAGGTTGACGGGAAAGTAATAATGTTCTTGTTCACCTAATAAATCTAGCACATTATTTCCGAGCTTCGTGAAGATGGCAGGAGTGTAACAAGAGTATTTACCCTTTTACATCTTCCAGGTCTAAGCCCTGGCAGGGTTGAAGGCTGTTTCTAAATACCCGATTCTGAAAGTGTTGCTTTTAAAATTACGCTTCCCAGAATCCCTTACCAACCAATGGCTAGCAGATGGAAGATGTGGGGACTTAGATAATTTTGATACATCTTGCCTCTTGTATCTTCATTTGTCACAACTGATAGCATTATCCGAGGATGGAAATGTAAGCTAGACCGAAAGAGCCAAGATGTATCTCCCATCCAAGGTCAGCGTGATCCATGTGAGAACATCTCCGACGTTGAGTGTATCATGTAACTGCTACCTTTCTTTTCTGTCGGGCGACCTCCGTTCTTCGGCACAGAGAATCTTGTTCAAGGCAGCCTACTAATTCTGAGCATGTGTTTCTACTTTCAGGAGAGTCAGGCCTGGGTAAATCTACTTTGGTAAACAGCCTGTTTCTAACGGACCTCTACAAGGACCGGAAGCTTCTCAACGCAGAAGGTATGACAATCATTTTAAGAGGAACATCTTCAGCCAAAAGCCAGTGCTTGAAAAGACTTTTGAGAGAGGAATATAATTTAGTCAGAACCCCTTTGCATCTGGGGTGACTTAGGGGTGACCTGTGGGCCATGTATGGCCTCCCAAGACTATTTTTCCTGCTCTGATCCCCACAAAGGCCCTGATCCCCCCTCATATGTCAATGTATTCATGTATCCATTGATTGCACAAAATGACTTTTCTTCACACTAGAAAAATTACCAAGCGCCAAACTTTTACAAAGCATCAAAAATCAATTCTCTCTGATTCTCTCTTTCTCAGGGTTTCCCAGGTAGAGAATACAGTGGTGCCTCGCATAGTGATAGCTCTGTTTAACGAGAAATCGCTTTGCGATGATGTTTTTGCATTGCTTTTCTCCGTTTAACGAAGAAATCGCTTTGCGATTATGTTTTTGCATCGCTTTTGCGATCGCTTTGCGATGGCCCCATGGGGAAAATTCGCTTTGCAATGATCGCTTCCCTGCGATCATCGCAAAGGCCCCATTTTCAGCCAGCTAATCGGCGGTTCCAAAATGGCGCCGGGTAAACAAAATGGCCGTCCACTGTGTTGCTTCGCTTTAGAGGCACCGAAAATGGCCGCCCCTATGGAGGATTTTCGCTTAAGGTTAGTTTTTAAGCCCATAGGAATGCATTAATGGTGTTTTAATGTGTTTCTATGAGCTTTTTAATATCGCTTAGTGATGAAATCGCTTAGCAGCGATTTTTGCTGCATGGATTAACATCGCTAAGCGAGGCCCCACTGTACTCAGATGTGGTTTCTCATTCCCTTCTTCCAGGGAGCCCTGGGACTGTGCAGCTTGCCCAAGGCTACCCAGGCTGGCTCTACTCACAGTGGGGGAAACAGACTCCCAACCTCTGGCTCCATAGCCAGATACCTAAACCACTGAGCTATCCACCCAGTCTCAGGAGATGGAATACTCACTCAAAAATATGAATACGAAGCAGGGATTGTAGAAAATGTGTTGAAATAAGTAATAAATAAAGCGCGTGTGAGAATGTAAGAATTTGCATGTATTAGAGACAAAGCTTCTTAGTGTTTTAGTCATGCTGTGTTTAAGCACTGAAAGCACTTTACATGCGTTATCAGTAATCTTTTTGCCAGATCCTTTCAAATAAGAGAAACAGACCAATCATGCAAGCCTCATTTTACACATTTGATAGGAGGAAAGGTGGGGCCTTATGGCCACCTCGTAAGTTTGTGGGGACTCCTCAGCCCCTATGGATGTTTTTGGCCGAGACCTAGATATGATTCGCCGAATAACCAAATCAATTTTGAGGACAGGGTGGTTGGTGCTGGGGAGTAAATTCTAACTTCTCTTGTGATTTCCCTTTTGCCTTTGTCTATTAAGAAAGAATCAGTCAGACAGTTGAGATTGTGAAACACACGGTCGACATTGAAGAGAAGGGGGTGAAGCTAAAGCTGACGATAGTTGATACTCCTGGGTTTGGAGATGCTGTTAACAACACAGAATGGTGAGCGTCTCTCCTTGTACCTCGTCATGCTTGCTGTGGGAGCAAAATAAATAGCACAAACTGGTCCACTTTGACGTTCCTCTCATTCCTGTATAATTTCTCTCTTTTATCCGATTTCTCCGCCGTACCACTTTAAAGGTGGAGTTTGCTGGTTAAATTGATTTAAACCAAAAGGCGCTAAGAGATGTTGTTTTCTGAAGGTGCTGAGTATTCCACACCAGAGATCCTTGGTTTTTTTCCAACTGGGACACCTAGCTGGAGGGGGGGACAGTTTTCTGTGTGTGGGCAGGCAGTGCAGGAATGGATTAAAATCTATTTATTTATTTATGTTAATTTAATAAATAAATTAAAATATGCATTTTAATTAATTAATTAATCAATCAATCAATTTAAAATATGCATTAAAATATGCATTCCTCCGAGTCAATAGTTTCATTGATGCTGTGAATCCACTTCACGTTTTACTCTGTACTTTACAAGAATTATCAAGGTGCTGAGCCTATTGGGAGGGGATAGAATTCACCACTTTCCATCGCCCCTGTAAAGGGCACACTAAAACCTGAAGTGGATTCGTAGCACTCCTGAAGCTGGAGTCACTGCTATGCATGCTATTTTAACACACCAGACTCTGCGAACTTTAGCAGGAAGGAGGGCCTTGAACATCCATTTTGCCTACCTCTTTTTTTAATTACAACATAAACCTGGGTCTTTAGAAAAAGGTGTCTAATTAACTTGATAACAACAGTGGCAGTTTTTCAGAGCCGTCTGAACTAATGACTATCATCGCCTTCCCTTAAAATCTGATCCAGCTGGAAGCCTATCACAGATTACATCGACCAGCAGTTTGAACAGTACTTCCGCGATGAGAGTGGCCTCAATCGGAAGAATATCCAGGACAACCGAGTGCACTGCTGTTTATACTTTATTTCTCCCTTTGGCCATGGGTAAGATAACTCTGACAGGGGCATTGTGGGTAAGGTAAGGCGCCTTCCCTTAAAATCTGATCCAGCTGGAAGCCTATCACAGATTACATCGACCAGCAGTTTGAACAGTACTTCCGCGATGAGAGTGGCCTCAATCGGAAGAATATCCAGGACAACCGAGTGCACTGCTGTTTATACTTTATTTCTCCCTTTGGCCATGGGTAAGATAACTCTGACAGGGGCATTGTGGGTAAGGTAAGGCTGGACCCTGACAGGTGCATTGTGGGTAAGATAAAGACGGTGCCTGACAGGGGCATTGTGGGTAAGATAAAGACGGTGCCTGACAGGGGCATTGTGGGTAAGACAAAGACGGTGCCTGACAGGGGCATTGTGGGTAAGATAAAGACGGTGCCTGACAGGGGCATGGTGGGTAAGATAAAGACAGTGCCTGACAAGGCATTGTGGGTAAGATAAGGCTGGATTCTAATAGGGGAATCGTGGGTAGATAAAGACGGTGCCTGACAGGGGCATTGTGGGTAAGATAAAGACGGTGCCTGAAAGGTGCATTGTGGGTAAGATAAAGACGGTCCTGACAGGGGCATTGTGGGTAAGATAAAGACGGTGCCTGACAGGGGCATTGTGGGTAAGGTAAGGCTGGACCCTGACAGGTGCATTGTGGGTAAGGTAAAGATGGTGCCTGACAAGGCATTGTGGGTAAGATAAAGACGGTGCCTGACAGGGGCATTGTGGGTAAGATAAAGACGGTGCCTGAAAGGTGCATTGTGGGTAAGATAAAGACGGTCCTGACAGGGGCATTGTGGGTAAGATAAAGACGGTGCCTGACAGGGGCATGGTGGGTAAGATAAAGACAGTGCCTGACAAGGCATTGTGGGTAAGATAAGGCTGGATTCTGATAGAGGAATCGTGGGTAAGATGAATGTGGAGCCTGATGGGGTATTGTGGCTAAGATAAGGATAGACTCTTGCAGGGACATTGTGAGTAATATAAAAATGGATTCTGACAAGTGCATTCTGGGTAAGATAATGATGAAGACTGACAGGTGTATTATGGGTAAGGAAGTATTATTGGGGGCCTCATAGCTCAGGCATTGCTTCCTCTGCATATAACTGCACTTTGGGTTTAGAGGTCTGCCCCAAAGTTAGTGTAACAGTTAATCTCTTGTTTATTTATTTATTTTAGGTTAGTAAACAGGGAAAAATATGGTCCAATACATCAGTGAGTGGTACATCTGGAAAATGATGCGGAGTAAAAGTATGCACAGTAAATTTGTTGCTGTTCTCAGAGAGATTAAGATATCAAAACTCACAATTTGGTGGGTGTGCAGAATCCTGTGGAAGAGATTGAAAGAAAAATTATTTTTCATTACAAAAAACAATAAAAGATTCTGCGGCCATGGGTAGCAAATGCTACGCCAGTGATTATATGATTTTATAAAGTTATTTATTTATTTTGAGGGAAACAGCAACAACAAAAATAGTCAAAATCATGTTGTTTAAGATATACCTAAGATATTGATGATACTGAAGATAAGATAAGATGTTGATGATGTCAGTGGCAGGGAGACATTTTTGGTCATTAAAGACTTCCTCCCATTCTACAACTAGCGAATAAGCAGTTTCATTGTGTGGAAGTTGTGGGAGCCATGAGAAGGAAGACGGTAGTCTTTAATTACCAAAAATCTCTACTAACAAAGATTATTATCAAGAGGTTATTTTTGGAAATTAAAGACTTCCTACTGCTGTCCTACAGCTCTCATCCAATGACACAAATTATGAGTTGGATAAGCCATAGGACAGTTGGAGGAAGTCTTTAATTCCCCCAATCGACCTCTGCCAGTGATGTCATTATGCTTTCACAAAGATAACTTAAGCAACAGGTTTTGGCCAAGATCTTATTTAAAAGAAAGGAAAGAGGAATGGGAAGAAAGAAAAGAGGCAAAATGTTATTTCATATTTAAAGTTACTGGCCAGAATCCTGTTGGTGATTCATGCTTGTGTAAGGGAAATTGCATAGGTCTTGAGAGCAAAAATGCTCATGAATGAGAGACTGCCGACATTCCAGGCTGTGTGCTGAGGAATGCAAGCAGCATCTTGCTAATGAATAGGCATTTCCTCCCAAGATCTAATGCAATTTCTTTTATGCAAATAGAATCACCAGTAAGATTCTGGACCTATCATATGGGGTTGTCCCATTTTCTGTGAGTTTCTGTAGGGAGTAGGGTTTGTAACTTTCTTGGCCCTTCTCCTGCCCACCTCATTTCTCTTGGGACTCGTCTTTGCTGCAGGTTGAGGCCGGTCGACGTGGAGTTCATGAAGGCTCTGCACGAAAAAGTTAACATTGTACCCCTCATCGCCAAAGCCGACTGCCTCATCCCCTCGGAGATCAAGAAGCTAAAAGAGAGGGTAGGCAAAGCTACTTTTGGCCAACAGGCTAGATCTGGGGTTCTTTTTTAATCTTTTGATTTGTGTTGAGAAGCATTACAAAAAACTTACGTTTACAAGGGGCACCCATAATGGAAGTTTAACAAATAAACATTTTGCATTAGGCATCCTTCAGTCTCGAGAGACTATGGCAACGTGCTCTGTATGGAGGACTTGGAACAGCGTCTAGTGTGGCTGAGAAGGCCAATTCAAGAGTGGCAATCCCTTCCACACTAAGGACAAATCCAGTCTGTCCCCTGCCCAGCTCCCTGATTTTGCTGGTTTCGGGACTGCCTCTTTGCCTCGGCCTGCTGGACAAGGGTCTCTTCAAATTGGGAGAGGCCGTGATGCAATGCCTGCCTCCAGGCTGAATGCTCAGATGTCAAGGTTTCCCATCTGTTGAGGTCTATTCCTAAGGCCTTCAGATCCCGATTGCAGATCTCCTTGTAGCGCAGCTGCTGTCTCCCTCTGGGGCGATTTCCCTGCACTAATTCTCCATACAGGAGATCTTTTGGAATCCAACCGCCAACCATTCTCACAACATGCCCAAGCCAACGTAGACATTCCAAGTATTTGAAAAGTGTTATCATCAGTCTTCTTAAGGCTAAAGTTGTGCTTTCTCCAGGCCTTCCCTGAGCAGAAAGAGCAAAATAAGAAGACCCAACTTAGTTTTTCTTCTTTTTAACACGTGAAGGAATGCATATTTCCTTCAGGGGTGTGTTGAAATACCTAAGTCCCCAAATGTTGTGGGACCCAGTGGATCCATCTAGTATGTTCATTTGTTGCACCAAACAAAGATTAAGGACTCAAGACAGCTCCCTGTTCTTTTTCCGCCACCCTCACTATCTCCCACCTCTGCAGATCCGGGAGGAGATCGACAAATTTGGAATTAAAGTTTACCAGTTTCCAGAGTGTGATTCAGATGAAGATGAGGACTTCAAGCAACAAGACAGAGAGCTGAAGGTGAGGACTGGACATCCATCCATGCATCCATCCATCTATCCATTCATTCCCTGCTGGGTCTCCTGGGAGTAGAGCCAGCCTGTGTAGCCTTGGGCCAGCTGCACAGTCCCAGGGTGCCCCCTAGAGGAAGGGAAGGGAAAACCATTTCTGTGTATTCCCTACCTGGAAAACACTGAAAAAAGGGTTACCATAAGCCACAGCTGTCTTGATAACACATGATTAAAAGCACATAGGCAATACAGGTTAGTCCTCAGAAATAGGAAATGTTAGGGTTTTTTCAGAAGACAACCTGCAGAATCACCTGCCTGCGTGATAACGCCTCAACAGGTTGGCATGATGTTTCCCCATTTCCTCTTGTTCCAGGAAAGTGCTCCGTTTGCAGTCATTGGAAGTAACACCGTGGTCGAAGCTAAAGGCCAGAGGGTACGCGGGCGCCTCTACCCGTGGGGCATCGTGGAAGGTAAGGTGAGATCAAGACAGATGATCACCTCTGAGTGATCTTGAGCTCCTTGGCGCTTCTCAGGCCAACCTATTCTTGGCAGAGTGTGATCCTCCTTAAGGCATCTTCCTATCTTCCCCACGGCAGCCTCAGTGTGCTGATGTTTGGGGGAGCAAGAAGGAATTGCAGGAGAGAGGGAAAAGGAAGGGTGTCAGTCCCAGGGTGCCCCCTAGAGGAAGGGAAGGGAAAACCATTTCTGTGTATTCCCTACCTGGAAAACACTGAAAAAAGGGTTACCATAAGCCACAGCTGTCTTGATAACACATGATTAAAAGCACATAGGCAATACAGGTTAGTCCTCAGAAATAGGAAATGTTAGGGTTTTTTCAGAAGACAACCCGCAGAATCACCTGCCTGCGTGATAACACCTCAACAGGCTGGAATGATGTTTCCCCATTTCCTCTTGTTCCAGGAAAGTGCTCCGTTTGCAGTCATTGGAAGTAACACCGTGGTCGAAGCTAAAGGCCAGAGGGTACGCGGGCGCCTCTACCCGTGGGGCATCGTGGAAGGTAAGGTGAGATCAAGACAGATGATCACCTCTGAGTGATCTTGAGCTCCTTGGTGCTTCTCAGGCCGATCTACTCTCGGCAGAGTGTGGAGTTTTGTTGACTTAAAAACCTCTGGCTGTGCAATGGGAAACATTCAGGGACCTACAGGGCAGAATTAGCTTGCAGTCCCCCTTGCAAGTATACCACCCCTTCTTGTTATTCTCATCCACTGGCACTTACATTCTTGATCTCATTTGGAGACATTTGGTGAGAGAAAGCAAGAAAAGGTTCCATTGACTCACAGTTCTTAATGGATCAAAGCAACAGCATTCTGTAGAAAAATAATGACTGGTTACATGAACAGTGCTAAACAGCTTTAATGCAGGGATGGAAGCTCTGGTCAGGCCCGCTTTCTACCGTTTTTGGACTCCCTGAGGCAACCTCTCATGGTGAAACCAAAAGTTACATTTTCCAGGCTGATTCCCCTTAAGGCATCTTCCTATCTTCCTCACGGTGGCCTTGGTGTGCTGATGTCTGGGGGAGCAAGAAGGAGTTGCAGGAGAGAGGGGAAAGGAAGGGTGCTCTGCCTGGGCTGTGCTGGATTCAGCCTCTCTCCGTGTGGATACTATGAGCTTTTGGCGGGGTTCTGGGATTTAGGGATTGTTATGAGGGTGGTTGGGTGTTTTTGGTCTGGTCTCTGAGTGTTCTTTGTGAATTTCGTTGTATGTGTGTATGGTGTATATACGTTCAATGGCAATAAATTGAAGTTGAGTTGAAAATGAATTGAAATTGAATTGAAACTGAAATTGAATTGAAATTGAATTGAAATTTTCATCCTGCACTGTTTTCTCTGGAGATGGTCTGTTTCTGGGCATTAAACCAGATGGTCTGTTTCTGCGCATTTCCTAGTGGAAAATCAAGCACACTGCGACTTTGTGAAACTGCGGAACATGCTCATCCGGACGCACATGCACGACCTGAAGGATGTCACGTGTGATGTCCATTACGAGAACTACAGAGCACAATGCATCCAGCAGATGACCAGGTGAGTCCCCCCTTGCTGCTGTGGTCTGGGGATGTCCGGTGTGGTTTCCTTAGTCTAGGTCCAAAACATTTGGAGGTCCCAGAACCCCTGCCTGCTGGCTGTGCTGGCTGGGATGGATGTTGCCCATGTTCCAAAGCATCTGGAGGGCAATGGGTTATGTACTCCTGTTCTGGTCCATCAAGGGATGGATGCTTAGATATGAACAAGGGTCTTTAGCGCAAGGGTGAGGAGCCTCTTTCCTCCAGATGTTCTGGGCCCAGAACCCCCCAAAAAGCAAAGATCAACAGCAACACTTCATTGACTACACAGTTTTAAAACTGTCTGATGCCTAAACATTAACAAAGAAGGAACAAGACAAGAATCCCTAAAGAGTACATTCTCCTCTTCAGGTGCCACTATGAATAAGGCCCTGACTGTTACGGGTGCCTGGTGTATAAACCCTCTCATTCATTCCAAAGGACTGCAGGACATGTAAGAGAGAAATTAAAAATGAAGAACCCGTTCATTGGGAGCCTCGATCCTTTGGAATCCTCCCCGAGATCTCCAAAATGTCCTGTCCTGAACAGCCATGCTCAAACCTGTGGCTTCCTTTAGAGTGTCAACCCCTCAAACCTGTGGCTTCCTTTAGAGAGTCAACCTGTTTCATATTTGGTCTTCCTCTTTTCCTGCTACCTTCCACTTTTCTCATCATTAGGGCCCTCTTTTCCTGCTACCTTCCACTTTTCTCATCATTTTCCAGAAAATCCTGTCGTGATGGGCCCAAAGAATGACAGCCTCAGTTTCAACATTTTTGCCCCTTGATTTGATCTAGGACTTTTGATCCTAGATCAAATCAAGCTCAGGCTTGATTTGATCGAGGACCCACTTGTTCATCTTTCTGGCAGGACAGAAAGCTCTCCTCCAGCACCACATTTCAAATGAATCAATTTTTTTTCCTGCCAGCTTATAGTTGCATTTACTACTGACACCTAGTGGTGAGACTACTGTGGCATTCCTGATCGTTGCACAGGGAAGTGAGAGCTGGCCAATGGAGAAAAGAGGCAGGAAAAAAAAAGATTGTTTGAAATTTAGTGCAGGAGGATTTTATAGATACCATAGACTACTAGAAAAACAAGTAAGTAGGTTTTTGATCAAATCCCCTTGAAGCAAAGGTGACTAAACTGAGGCTCTTTTGCTTCAGACATATCATGAGAGGACAAGAATCAATGGAAGAGATAATCATGTTAGGAAGAATAAAAATTACAGTGGTGCCTAGCTAGACGCTTACCTTGCAAAACGGTTTATTCGCAAGACGATGGATTTTTGCGATCGCTATAGCGCTTCGCAAAATGGTTTTCCCTATGGGCGATTTTCACTAGACAATGTTTCGGTGCTTCGCAAGATGTTTTTTTTTCTCAGGTCTGTTTTTCGCAAGACAACAACTTTGACAGCTGAGTCTGTGCTTCGCAAAACGGTTTTTTAAGGGACGTTTTTTGCAAGACAACGATTTTGACAACTGGGTCCATGCTTCGCAAAACGGTTTCTCTATGGGTGATTTTCGCAATACAACGATTTCCCCCCCATTGGAATGCATTAAATGGAGTGCATTCCAGTGGGGAACCACATTTTGCAAGACGATGTTTTCACAAGACAGCGATTTTCGCGGAACAAATTAACATTGTCTTGCGAGGCACCACTGTAGTACGAAAAGAGCAGATGACCTAATGTGAGATGGATTGATTTAATAAGGGAAGCCACAGGCTTGAATTTGCAAGACTTGAGCAGGGCCTTTAGGAATAGGACCTTTTGGCTATTAATGACAGGACCTTGAATGAGCTATTCCAGGAGTAGGGGAATGTAGCTACACTACTTGGGTATGACAGTTTGATTCCATTTCTGGAGGTTATTGACTCATAGGGTCATTATAAGTTGGAGGCGAGTGGAGAGCAAATAGCAACAATGGAGAGACAATGCTAACATTGTCGAGATGGAAAGTAGGCAGACGGCAGCCATTGAGGAATCTGGAGTTTAATGTACTAATCTCAGAAAATGACTATATACCTTCCTTTAGTTAGAGAGAGTGACTGGTTGCTCCTTTATGTGAGCTTATACAACAAGAAGTCTCAGGAGTCTCGGTGCTGCTCCTCCACACAGTGTCCATAGCACTGAGAGCTTGTGTTCATTGATTCTCTTCCGAGTCCCTTCTCCTTGCTTTCGCCATGTCGACCTTGGGCAAATGGAACATACATGCACATGCCCTGTACACTGAGCCTATGATTTCTTGCTTGTGTTGGGATCAGTGTCTGGGGTTTAAAGAGCCAGCGTTTCTGAATTACATGCTGTTGTCACCATCTGCAACGGCGTTGCCATTTTCGTCAAGAGGCAGCAAACTGGGTTGACAGAGGTGCCCTCGGGAGAGCACCAACCTCCCATTGGTTACCCCCTTCTTTGAATGTCCCCTTGATTTAAAGTAGGGATTTAATGTTTGAATGGTGCAGGAGGCGTCTTCAGGGCTGGCCTTAGTGGAGGCTGGAAGCTCCAGTTTTGAGTTTTAGTCTAAGGTGCCAAACCCTGTCCTTAAAAGAGGTTCAGCACATTGCATACTCTTTTTGATGGGCTCAAGCGACAGGAAGCCAGATTTTGTCTGAATATCAGAAAAAAATTCTTAACTGTTAGAGCAGTACAACAATGGAATCCTGAAGAGGTGGTGAGTGCTCTAGTTTTGGAGATGTTCAAGAAAAAAATGGGACAACCACCTTACAGATATCCTTTGATTTGTATTCCTGCCTTGGGGGGGGTTGGAACTCATAGCCTTATAGACCCTTTCCGGCCCCATGATTCAATGATTCTATGAAGTGAGGACTAAAATCCGGAGGGGATTCACCATGCTTGCCAAGTCAGAAACACCAGCCAGTGTCCTGGGCCAACTTTGTTTATAGGGAAATTTCCTAGGCTACAGTGGGGATGAAATCTAGCTGGGTCCGTGATTCCTTCCTTCTTTCCCCCACTGCTTTTAGCAAACTGACTCAGGACAACAGGATAGAGAGTCCGATCCCGATCTTGCCCCTTCCGACGCCGGATGCTGAAACGGAGAAGCTGATCAAAATGAAGGACGAAGAGGTAAGGGTCCTTTTTTGGGGGGGGGCTTTGGTTGATTGAAAGATTTCTCCATCCGCCCATCTTTTTATGAAACGGTGGAGCTTCTTAGAGGAGGAAACGGCTTCACGCCACCCCCCCCAAAGACCAGCCCTTTTGTAAATTTGGAGTGATCCAGAAGGCAGCCAATGAGGTGTCATAGGTGGTAGGTGGGACCAACCTGGTCCAGCCCTTTTAAGAGGTGTGCAGATCTGTAGTTTCGAACCCCCAGAATTCCCTCATCAGCACAGAGGCATTCTGGGAGATACGGTCCGAAACCACAAAGCTGCACATCACTGTAGACGACTCGGAAATACAACAGATAACAAAATCTTTAGGCATAATCCAAGATTTTTATTATATTGGCTCAAAGAAATACTCACGCAGAACTCTTAAGGCAGAAGGATTCCAAAAAGGCAGATTTTATTATTCCTTTTGCAGCAGACGTTCTACTTGGAAAGGGTCATCTGGAAGTTCTCAGGGCTAGAGCAATCAAAAGGATACTGCAGTTTTTCCACAGTAAGCTTTCGCCTCTGTCAATGGGCCATCATCCTGATCAGCCGAAATCCACCTCCTTGGCTTGCCTTTGACAATCAGACTGGGAGTCCCAAGGGCTGGGACTTTTCCAGCGATGGCATCATGAATATGGGACTCCTTCCCAGCAGATAATGCCTCTGCGGTGTTTTGGAAGGGCCTTCATTGATTTAGGTTTGGCTTGGAAGCCAGAGGTTGGGGGTTCTGTTTTGGAAGGGCCTTCATTGATTTAGGTCTGGCTTGGAAGCCAGAGGTTGGGGGTTTGATTCCTTGCTGTGCCTCCTGGGTGAAAAAACCAGCCTGGGTGGCCTTGGGCCAGCTGCACAGTCCCAGGGCTCCCCCTAGAGGAAGGGAAGGGTAAACCACTTCTGTGTATTTTCTACTTGGAAAACCCTGAAAAATGTGGCCATAAGTCAGAATTGACTTGATGGCACATTATCATCATCACCACCATCATCATTGGTTTTTATGGACCTTTATCAACTTTCTCCACAATCCAGTACTGAAATGTACTGGAAAATTCCTGATTTTCTGATCTTGAAAGCCTTCCCTCAAAACCACGATGGGTGAACTGCCAGAGGACTCACCCAAATTATTCAACACCGCTCTGGGCGTATTCATTAGTTGGCAGCTGAAAATTCAAATACGCTTTTGATCACTTCCTAAGAACACATTTTTGACAACATCTAATTCTTGGTGGCTCTTAGTCAAGATATATGTGATTATTTATATATTTTTTAAAATGTATAGTGCTGTTTTTAAGAACCTGTTCACAGCAACAGTGCATTAGGAGTTTTGTCATCTAAATTCGGTGTCCCAGTGGGACAACAAATGCCATGATGCAGTGCAAGTGCTTGCGTAACATAGACATGGCAGAACCTACCGTATTTTTTCCGTGTATAAGACGTCCCCCATGTATAAGACACCCCCCCCACTTTTCTAATCCAAAATTAAGAAATCTAAGTGGGGCTTAGCAAGTGTAGGGTGAAAGGGATCAAAGCGCTGCAGGATCGCAGGATCGCTTTGATCCCTGCTTTCCCCTCCACTTGTTTTTGTTCTCTCCTCAGTTTACTTCCGTGTATAAGATGACCCTCATAGTCCATACGGTACATAGTCCATACAGCAACGGCATACAACGAAGTCCATAAGGCAGTGCAGCCATCCAGAAGCAGATTTTGCCAGAAGCTTGGCAAGCTCTTCTGGAATGAGGGCCATCTTGGTGCCCAGGCTGGATGCCTTCATTTTCAATTCAGCAACGTTGTCACTATCTTTTCCCCCCTCTTTCTTCTCGCAGCTGCGGAGGATGCAGGAGATGCTGCAGAAAATGCAGCGCCAGATGCAAGACCAGTGAGAGGAGCCGCGCCATCGAAGGGCAAAAGGGGAACCATCCTTTTTGCCTTCTGCAGTTTGGCAGGACGTGCGGACACACCAGGAAGGACTTCCGCATTGCAAAAAAACAAACAAACAAACAGAAAAAAAACATATGTGAACAAGGGTGACAACGTCTCTCATGTGCTCTCTTGTCTAATCCGATGGTAGCCATGTTTTCTTTAGCAGGAGGTTGGAGCGAAGGGAGAGGAGAGAGGGTGGCGTCCAGTTTATTAAGGAGCCCCTCCTGTCTTCAGAATATTCCCGTTGTTCCCCACTCTTTCCTAGATGTACTAAACTCTTGTGACAGAGTGTTTCTGGTATTTAAAGAGAAAAAAAAATCAGCGTTTCTATGGCATATGAATTTTGAGGACTCTGTGAAAATGCACGTAAATGTTTACTCCTAACTAAGGTGCTGTGATCCTTCTTCCCTCCCCAACCCCTCTGTAACCTGTCCTCCTTATTTTTTTCCCCTCTTCCTACCATTCCGAGGTCACGGTAAGCTCCTCCAAAGTGGATAGTACAGTAGGACCACGGGATCCACGGGGGATCAGTTCCAACCCCCCGTGGATGCTGAAATCCGCGGATATGCAAACGCTATATATAAAACATAATCTCTGGTTCCCTCTAATGCCCAGTTCTGGTAATACACCTTGGAAGTGAACAATTCTGTGTTTTTTTCCCCGGTTATTATTTTGAGGCAGTGGATAACTGAAACCGCGGTTACTGATCCCGCAGATACAGCAGTCCTACTGTTTCCCCCAAACAAAATGTTGCAGAGGCGGTTAGGAGAGGAGCTGACCAGTTAGACCAGTTAGACCAGTCTCTATATTGCCCCCTGCCTTCCCCGGCCTCTTAGAGTGAAGAAGCAAAAAAGCTGGTTGGATTTTGGAGGAAGGGTGGGTGTTTTCCAAGGATTTGGCCCAAACATTCCTAGTTGGACAATGCTTTCCCTTATTAAGAAACTCAAATTACTTTTGCACTAAGGAGAGAAAGGGCTGGAGGGGACCGGCTTGCGTGGGATTGTATTAAAAAACAGCATTCACTGCCCTTGTCTTTGGAGAGACATGCGACCCCAGAATCATGTATGAATGATTTATGCTCTATACTAAGTGACACTGCTTTGCAATCTAGCACCGCCTTCTTATGCAAGACTGGATTCCCAGATAAAAGTATGATTTGGTGCATATGGCACCCACTGCCTCTTGAAGTGCTACTCTTCCCCCCCGTTGGCTCCTCTTTCTGGGGTTTCTACCCAGTTTCGCGTGGAAATGGGGTTTGAAGCAAAATGTGCCATTTTGCTTCCTACGCCTGTAGAGTTGTGTTAAGGGATGGGAAGTGGGTTTATGGGACATGGAATGGCTTGGATCTGCTCAGCCTCCCATGTGTTGCATTTTTCTGCGTCCTTCTTCCTGAGTGAACGCCGTTGCGCTGCGTCGTGGGCTCGAGAGTCTAAAGACGAGGAGGCCGTGCTCGCAAGGTTGTGGGTAAAAAAAGTCCGGGATGCGCTGGGGCCCCAAATAGGCGAGGTTGTTGGACACAAGAGGAAGTGTAAAATAGGCAACATGTTATCGGAGGTGAAACCACGAGAAGCTGTATTGATCAGACAGGGTTTTCTGCTGTGGCTCGTGAACATACACCAGTGGCGATCCACGCTTGTTTTTTCCGAATGCCCAAAGTCCACATTTCTGCACCAGGGAAGCTCAGAGTTTTGTGTGCATCATTTAACACACCTAAAAGAAGTCTGGATGATGGTGATGGTGATCATTTAAGTCAAAAAGGAAACCCATCTCACCATAATAGGGGAGGCGAGCAGGCTTTAATTTAAAGCCAGGCTTTAATCGTGGACCTGCAAATTCAGGATCCCTGCTGCCTTTCTCCTACTTCACCATTTTCTCGGCTTCCAGTTCCTCGGATAGAGAAATGACCTCTGAAAAGCAGATTAAAGGGCCTTGTATAGTTTTCTCGCCCTCCCTTCTCCCCCCGTGCTCTGTTTGGCAGTCCAGGGGGGCATATATGTTTTTGCCCAGAAGGCAGACTATGCTGTTGCAGAGAGATAAGCCTGCTCTTCTCCTACAGCGATGACCTTGTTCCAGTTGTGCTTCTTTCATATTGTATCTCACGTCCTCTGAGAAGGAACCGCTGTCTGTGTGGGTTTTCCTGATAAGGCTGGGCTCCAGAGAAACCCACATGACAGTGCCACAATGCTGGGTATCCATGTGTGGTTAAAACATAAGTTGGTGGACTTTGCTGTCTCTCGGTTAGTTTGAATCCCAAAAAACTCTCTTGAGAAGCCCTTGCCTCCGGCTGAATGAGACTGTGCTGTCTGTAAGAATGTTAAGCATTTCTGCTAGCAGAATGCAACGGTCCAGTACTAGTATGTATCGCTGTTAAACAGGGTGTAACTGTTCTGGAATCATGTAATTGGGTAAGGCTAGAATACGAGATACAGTGGTGCCTTGCTTAACGACGATAATCCGTTCCAGGAAAATCGCTGTTAAGCAAAAACATCGTAAAGCAAAATAAAAAAACCCATTGAAACGCATTGAAACTCGTTCAATGCGTTCCAGTGGGGTTAAAACTCCCCGTCCAGTGAAGACCCTCCATACGACGGCCATTTTCGCTGCCTGTAGAGCGAGGAATCCATCCCTAAACACAGCGGGGAGCCATTTTAAGCACCCGGCGGACATTTTGAAACCGCCGAACAGTTGCTAGAAAAACATCGTTTTGCGAAGAATCGGTTCCCGAAGCAGGGAACCGATCATCGCTAAGCGAAATCCCCCCATTTAGACCATCGTTTTGCAATTCGTCATAATGCGGGGCAATCGTAAAGCGAGGCACCACTGTATTTATGGCTTCAGGAAATCCACCCAGGAATAGCGGAGGAGGCAGAACCCAAAACATATTTAGGGAATCCCCTAAAGTTGACTTATCTTCTGCTGCTCTACTCTAGAAGCCAAGGAGTGGGCCTGTCTCTATCTAATAAGAGGAAGAAGCCAAGGAAGGAAGAGGGAATGAGCAGAAGAATATGTCAGGAAATCCACCCAGGAATAGCGGAGGAGGCAGAACCCAAAACTTATTTAGGGAATCCCCTAAAGTTGACATCTTCTGCTGCTCTACTCTAGAAGCCAATGAGTGGGCCTGTCTCTATCTAATAAGAGGAAGAAGCCAAGGAAGGAAGGGAATGAGCAGAAGAATATGTAGTAGTCTAACCATTGAACTGGAACAGCAAAGGCAAGGGGAGGAGAACGCTCTGAAGTTCTCGGTCCACCTGTTTTCTCCACCCTCACTGCTACATGTGTTGTTGCATCGTTTCCCCTTTGGTTCCCAGTGCATATTGACGCTTTAAATGCAACTATTGATGCTTTTGATGTTTGATGAGAGGCAGAATGACAAGACCCATGGTGGGAGGTGGAAATCAGGCCACCCCCTAGTTATTTCTAGTGATGGAGCCTTCATGGATGGTAGTCAAAATGAGGATGAAAACATATGGTCCTCCAGATGTTGCTGGAGTGCAACTCTCGTTCGTCTGAGCTAAGCATAGCGACTGCTGAAGAATGATGGGAATTATAGTCTGGCAGCATATGGAGAATTGAACTTTGCTGGCTTCTTGGCCACATGGTCCTCCTTGTGGAGCTGGGGCACCTTGTGGTTCTCATGGTGTTGATATCCATACAAATGACGGTCCGGTTGTGTCACTGACACCACTGGCTCTAAGGAAACAGGAGAAGAAAGCACAGCGGGTTTATCAAAGCTGGCATTTCATAGCCGTATGACAGACATGGCAGGGATCTGTTGTTTGCCCACTGATCCAGGAGGGTCATAAAGTACTTTTTCATTGGTCAACCATTAATCAGTGCTCAAATTCCCAATCCTAGAAGATCAGGCTTCCCCCCCACATCCCCTTTTGTGTTCACTTTGCTCTACAAGCTACTGATTTATTTATTATTTTTTTCAAACAGGCTCTTGGGGACATCTTGAGGCTAAAAATTAAGAAAATGCAAAATTCCATAAGAGCTGGAGAGCCGGCCCGCTCTAATTTAAACACTGCCATGAATAAGACGAGCTTGAAACAAAGGATGCAGATGAGGGTCCGTGTCCCCCCTCCCACTCCCACTGCTTTCTGGCTTTCCACGTTGCACTGGCACTGTTCTCCACTTCCTTACGTTGGCCCTTGAAGGATCCCTGTGTGGTGTGGTGTTTGGAAACCTCTCAAGGGGTGGCAAGGTGAGGGGAGCGCTTCCATAAATCCCATACGTGGGAGGGGGGGATACGTGTTTGTGGGAGTGGGTGGAGAAGGTCATAGGTATGATGTGCCTCACTGGGGGGCATGGGCGGGCAGATGCGGTGTGCCTCCTTTGGTGCCAACATTAGCACCGGCTTGCTTCTGTGGACCATGGTGGGCCACTGAACGGTACTATCTTTGTGATTGTTCCCCCCCCCCAGGTTGCTCTGAGTTCCTCCACACGCCTTTTTTATGTGTAAATCCCAGAAAATGGGGAAGACGAAGGGAGATTTGTTCCCTCGGTCTTCCGAAGGGCTCGGCCACCCTCATGTTGTAAAACCACACAGCTTGTTGTGATTGCTTCCGTGACACCCAAACTCGCCTTGCTCTGTTCTGTATTTGCTTTTTGTTTGTTTGTTTGGGTTTGTTTTGTTTTCCTGTTTTGTACATTTCCGTTGAACATTTTTTTTCTTCTTCTTCATGGTGATCGAAGAGAACAGAACCTTTTAAATATATCCATTTTATTAAAATTATTATTATTATTAATATAATGTTTACTATCGGAACTGATCAGTGAAGTAAACTTAAAAACAAAAGGAAAACCATGCAGCATTGTGGTCAATTGGTCTGTTGAACAAAATCATCTGTGACAGAATGTGGAATTTGATTGCTGTGACCTTATCTAGCAAATGATTTTTACCTCACACTTCTTCAAATGGGTGCCCCCACTGACACTCTGTTCTCTGATAGTTGCAGTTCCAGTCCTGAGAACTTTGTGATATATCCCAAAACCACATTCCAGGGAGGGAACACAAAATTAAATACTTTTATTTTGGAGAAAATAGAAATGGAAATGGTCTTTGAGAGGATTAAACTCATAGATGTACTCGCATGAAGTTGAATACAGAAATGGTAGTTATGGATCCACATTCACACTCTTGTATGATCGTGTCTTGATGTGAAAGCTGGGCAGTGAAGAAAGCAAGACAGGGGAGAAAAAACTGATTTATTTTGAAATGTGGTGCTTACCGGCAGAGAAATTTCCGGATACCCTGGGCCACCAGAAAGGCAAACAAGTGGGTCCTAGATCACATCAAGCCTGGACTATCTCTGGAGCCAAAAATGTCGAAACTGGGGCTGTCCTACTTTGGACACATCATGAGAAGGCAGGGTTTTCTGGAA